TTTTTTGAGGAGGGTAATGGTTAGGAAGTTAGTAGAGTTAGATGTTAGCAACTGGGACTTCCCAAAATAATGAACATTCCACCCCTCAAATGAGGCGCACGACCATTAGGTCGCAAGTTGGTGGAGTTCACGGCGGTGGCAGAGGTCGAAACCCTGACCTCCCGTCTCACCGAAACCCTAAGGCTTGGGGGCCAATCACTGGGCCACAGGCCCGGTTGGCAAGATCGCATAAACTTGTTACAACTTACAAGGGCTTAATTTGCTCCTTTTCCACGAAAAAGATCATGTCACTTGCTGACTAGCTTTCTTTTGATTTTTTCCTAATTTACGTGTATTGTGCTGTTTAAGTCTACTAAGTTTTTCTCTATATTCTAAAAACAAAAAAAAATTCATACTCTTTTTTTTTTTTTGTTAACTTTATATAATTACATAATCTAATTTATGAGAAAGTGATTTCTTTTTTTCTTTTGGTTAAAACCCCTTTTTGGTCCCTGAACTATTGTACGGACCCCCAATTTAGTCCCTGAACTAAAAAAATCCCTGATTTGGTCCCTATTGTTTACCATTTTTAGCCCGATTTGGTCCTTCCGTTAAAAATCGTCCGTTAACTCACAGATATATCAAAAATTTAAGCCACGTCAGTTGTACACGTGGATAAATGATGACATGGTCATACCCAATGCAAAAACAAAAGTGGGGCCCAGCAAGTTACAATTTTGCATCATCTTCTTCCTCCAGCATCTTCTTTCTCGAAACTTCCTTCATTCACACAATCAATTCAATCAAATAATCAATTCAATATCCTTCATTCACACAATCAATTCAATCACACAATCAATTCAATCAAACAATCAATTCAATATCGAACCCAACAATTCTTCATCGTAATCAAACAACCAAACCCACAAAAAAAAAAAAAAAAAAAAAAATTTTTTGCGCCTGGGTTCGCTGGGTTCGACCTGGGTTTGTCGAACCCAGGACCCAGGGCTGGGTTCGACGAACCCAGGACCCAGCCCTGCTGGGTTCCGAGGGGAAGGAGGAAGAGAAAGGAGAAGGAGAAAGAGAAAGAGAAAGGGAAAGGGAAAGGAGAAAGAAAAAGAAAAAAAGAAAAAAGAAAAAAGAAAAAAAAATTTTAAGTTTTATTTTTCATAATATTTTTTTATATTATTTTTTCCACATCATCACTTTTTTTTCCACATCATCACTTTTTATATTATTATATGACATGTCATCTGGTAACTGTTAAGTAACATGCCACGTCACATAATTTTTAACGGAAGGACCAAATCGGGATAAAAATGGTAAA